AAAACACTAACAACAGGAAACTTTATACAATGTTTTCCTCTGTAAATGCCTTCTTTCTTCTACCTCTCTACTGTTTAGAAATCACTGCAATATATGTTACTAGAATGAATTAGACATGATGGAGTTTTTGGAGTAATTCCAAAGTACACAAAAATTTGTATACACACCATCCACTGATTCAGATACAATAGGAATCAGCTGTGGTTGGCCCAAATGTCCAATTGTTTTTATACCATTTAATTTTTAGATTTGAAATATATTTCATTACAATATTACTGTAGAAATGTGGCAAAATGCTGTCTTATTCAGTTTTGTATTATGTTATTGGTTTGAACTTAAGTTTAACAGTTTTGAAAACAGTATGTAAGCATGTGCAAAATTGACCTGTAGGTACACAGAGTTTTGGCGGTTGTTGTGTCGAAGTGAGAAAAGAATTAATGTAATTTGAAAGATGTAGTCATTGAATGCATTTTGTGGCAAAGCAATGATAAATGCACAGTTTAGCCCACATATACTTCTGTTGTGCTCACTGTGTGAAGAGTTTTGAAAAAGTGACCTAAGTATTGAGAAATGTGTCCTAGCGACTGTAAACATGTTTGATATCGTGTGACTGGACGGAAACAAGAGTCTGTGCCCAACTGCCCATCATACACTATGCTATTTTCAGTAAAATCGTTCAAAAGTGCTCTAAATCTGCACACTGGCTCTGGCTTTCAGCAATAACTAGTGTCAGGCAGCTTGTCTAGAATGAAGAAAAAATCTGGGCAAAAGTTGTGTAGTGTATTCCAGCCTTATATCATTTGAATCTCAAAAAGACTAATTACTTGCGTCCGACAATGTTTACTTTTAAAGTCTAAACACAGGGCACTTATTGGTGCAAAAGATACAAAACAAAGAAAATAATTGAGTATCTCACTATACAAAACACACAATCTGTACATACAGCAAATGAAAAAGCTATTAAGAAAGTGAATTCATCTTTTAAAAGCGGCCCCTACTTCAATTTTTACACACCCTGTAAAAATAATGGCTATTATCTTTCATAGGAAACAAACAGAAGAACATACACACTGCTGAAGTACAGCCTTCTATTCCTCAATTAAGAAAAATGTCAATTTCAAAGCAAGCAACACAGTTAGCATATTGGTTACAAGAAAGCCATAAACCTTTTCTGTCTCCTGGTGTTATTGATCTCGGATGCCTGAAATCCATTAGCGCCCTTTACATACTCAGTGTTTTCTGTCCCAGTTCGGTAGAGCAAGCTTTCGCTCGAGTTTCCTTTAAACCTTCCTGTGTGGGGGGAGAGCGGCAGCGGTGGATTAGCGATGCTGGCAGAGGGCCTGCACCAGAACTACTCCTTGGCCAGCTCTCCAGTCATCAAGAGCATCCAAGTGATCCAAATTACAAGTACCCCCTGTGTCCAAGGGCTCAGGAAGTGTCCAGCCATGGGCCAAGTGGGACCACCTTCCCACATTTGACTGTTATTAGTCCCCACAGGAGGCCCTGGCCATGTGCTTGCTTACAACAGTATCACAGAGAACCATACATTAACAGACTCTGTCGTATGGCACAGACAATGCCTTCCAAATCAACACACTTTTTTTTTATAACAGGTGAATAGTGCTTTCTCAATAGAAGCCTGAATACTACTAACGGCAAGGCAAGTTAATTTATATAGCACATTTCATACACTATGGCAATTCAAAGTGCTTTGCATAGAGAATAAGCACAAAATACTAATAGTACTGAATAGTAGCCTGAAAGCATTCTCTGCAGTGACATTATGTAGACACTTCCCCACATGATGACTATGACAGTGCTTTATTGTTATGAACAGCTGAAGGTCTTCTTCCTCCACCCACATAACAATGCAGCCACAGAAGCTGAACACCAACATACTCTCAGCGGCCTTTCGAAAACCAGGACTCATAATGAGTTCAAGCTCTTGCCAATTTACTTGTCCTATTTTCTTACTACACTCTTTTGTGCTCCAAATTTCCCCCTTGGCCAAAATCAACTAGAATTCTCCCATGTACCTTCCACTATAATTAGTGTGACAAAATATCATATGCCTCTTAATCAAACTGAACTATAGGGGGTTTGAAGTAATCTCGTTAAGTTGTGATAAAAGGTTGATAAAAAAGACAAGTAAGGCAAGAGATCAGGAAAATTTAAGGTGGTGTTTTGTTATCAGAGGAGTAACTTGTTATGCTTATGTGAGAAAATGGATTTAGATTGTTTTAATTAATTTCTTTGTGCTGCATGTGATAAAGCTGATCAGAGACAGTGGAACGTGACATAGCCATTGAGAATTGTTTGCCTCAGTTACAGGTTACAGTACAGACACATTATTAAAGTCAGGGACACTCTCCCTCCCTATTAGTGTTGCACAATTAATCGAAATAAAAACGAAATCGTGATATGGCTTAGTGTGATTATCAAATAACAAAGGCTGTGAATTAATAAATAAATAAATGTACTGTGTTCTTAACATCTCAGAGCAACTCCATCTTTGCATCAGCTCTGAGTTTGGGTTGCTTATAACGTGAATTAACGCAACTGGGAACATTGGGAACGCAACTTGCGCCAACCATCTTTGGCCAAATTGTGCAGCCCTACAAACAAACACAGCAAACCCAGAGCTATTCTTCCCTCACAATTTTTATCACTAAATAATTTTTTTTTTTTTTTAACACACTACTACTACTACACAAATGCAGACATTATTCTAGAGAAACATTTCAAAGTTCGTTGAAAAAAACAACAACATCACAAATTAACCACCCCAAGGTTTACATCACATACGGTACTTGTGAAATGAAGACTTTACCTACTTTTTACTGCCCCACTGACACCCGAGTGGTGACTCCAGGCTCTCTACTTGAAGAAGAGCAGCACAGAATATGTATTTGTTTATTTCTGGAGACAGCAGAGCTGGCACAACCTAGAACTAAAAAATAGTTCCACAAATCTTACCTTTGTGGACTCTTTTCTGCAAGTGAGGCTATCAGATGGACAATTTGCCAATTCCACACAGCTCAAAAATGATGACTCTGTTCTGTCCAGTTTGAACATTTGATCCCTGAAACTATAACCGACCCATGTAGCCATTTCAGATAGCACTTAGCTAATGTAAAGCCCATACCACAGCCAATTTGTTACAGCTCCAGGTGTCTGCCATGCACAAATGATACTGTTAGCCCAGCATGCATACTCACAAATTGGGTGCTAGCTGCTATAGTGGCAATCTGAAACAATACACAGAACTATTCATAACATTCTTGCTATAAACGTCCTTCACTACAACACCTGACTCCTTTCACCAGAATGGTTTTGCACTTTATGGACCATTTTCACATTTTCAGGTTGAAAGGCTTAAGTATAGAACTACAGAGGTCTAAACTTCTATAGATTTATAATGGAGACTATAGCAAATAGCCTATTATTATTCCCATTCCCTCCAAAAGCAAACTTTTTTTTTTTTTTTATAAAAGTTGCCATTGCATTACTTTGGAAGTAAATAATATAGAGAGAGATGAGTTATACCCGTGAGAAGATAGGAGAATCATGCCAAATTTACAGTCATTCCTTCAGTAGCTGTTTTACAAAACTCACGGCAGCAGTGTTGACTGTTTTTGTAATTTAATGCCAGAGTAATATAACACAAAGTATAGTGTTACGTTTATAAAATATATATTTTTTGTGAAAATATATTTTAAAAATTTGTTCTATTTACGATGCAAATTTTTGCGGAAATTCATTAAAATAAAATATAAATATTATATAGATGGGAAAAATTTTAAGAAAATTAGAAATGTTGCCTGTAGGATGTAGGAAATGTAGAAAACTAACTGAAATAAGTGCAAGTTGAAGTACTAAAATATCTATAGTTAAATAGTTAATAATAGAACATTTTTAAAAAACTAATAGAAATGAGGACATAAAAATAGCTACTAATAGTTAATTAAAAATAAATAGCAATATAGTTTATCAATATATAATACTAAAATAGGTTAACACTTGAGCAGGTTCAGTTACCTGGATGAGTGGTCTAATTAATAGACCGTGAACGATAGCTATTGGAAAATATCTCACCGCAATTGACCAATATAATAAATAAAGAAGACGTAGTAGTATTAATGTAGTTGCTATGATCTTATCGACTGGCGCTGGTAATATGATGTCCCCTCATGGCGAATGCGTAAAAAAAGACTAATCTATAGTCTAGGTCTAAAGTCTTTATCACATATGTACACCTGTGTTTAATTAGATTTCTTGACTAAACTTTTTTTAATTATAAAAACAGTACCGTGTACACCTTTATAATACAATAGTAATCAAATAATAATAGTAATTCCATTTTCAGGTATGTGCTCATTCAACATGTAATCTCTGCACTATGCCAAGGACCACTTCAGCTGATAAAAGCATAAATAACCGTTGTCATCTCGGTGAAAAGCAGATAGTCAAACAAAACGTACTTATCAATGTATCTATACTATCTTGTAAACAAAACCATATGCCAAAACGAGGTAATCCTGCAGGGATTCATTATCAGTGAGAGAGCAGTGTCCGATCACTGATATAGTAGAGCACAAGCCACGTACACGCAAGACAAACACTGACAGACCGTGTAGAGACAGAAGAGCTCATTTCTGTTGTTCTGTCAATGTTACGGAGCTGTCATCACACAAATGTGAGCTTTAACTCTGTTTATTCCAAACTAGCACTGATTAGCAAGGGTACATGAACTTCTTTACATTCCCCGAGAGTCGCAAGGACATGCTGTCAAAGGGACCGAGTACAGTGATGTTGCTATGGGAACTAGAGTTGGTCGTTTATTGATTTTCAGCAATTAAGAGTTTAACGAACTAGAATGACTGAGACTAGCTGCTAGCAGTCCTGGTGCTCAACTGAAAGGCACCGCACTGTCGACATGTTAGCACTGCAAATAAATGAGCAAAAACACTCCTATTCGCCAAGAAGCAGTATTCGCTTACCTTTGAAACATTCAAGCACACTGTTCCTCGGGCCCTTCAAAAGTTAAAAGGCAATGTAAACAGTCAATGTCTCAGGTTGCAGTTCGCTTGAGAGAGAGACGGTGGCTCCACTGGCAGTCAAGCACCCACACTCAGCCCGCTACAGCGCTGCAGCGAGAGAACATATGCCTGAAATATCGCGATATCACAACACTACTGACGGCGCTGAACTGACCAATCATACTCAAGAAACGTCGTCCAATAAGAAAGCGGAGGGTGAGACATGTTCGGCATTATTGGTCCGTTCAATATGATTGACATCCTCGACATCGAGAGTAATTTATAGAGCTCAATCTTCTGTTAATTTGTTTACAGGATTGAGGAGACTCTGAGGGAACTGCAGTGTGTAATAGCCTGTCAAAGAGTTTTGCCAAACCAAACACAGGAATGCCGAAAAGCAAATATGAGCAAATTTGCAGACTTTACAACCATGTATGACAGGCCAGAGTGCGTTGTTGTGCAAGCCCAACTCTATTAACTACATTAATACTATTACAATTAACTAAATGAAATAATTGTCCGAAAAATCTCCTTTCCTTTTTTTTAAGGAACAGTTTATAGAACCTTTAGAAAATATAGAATATGCATTGAGGTTGATAGGGACATTTTCCCCCAGTCATCTCAATGGCAAAAAAGTTTTCCTATCAACCTGAATTCACCCTAAATTGTATTTTTTTTTTTAAAGTTTGCATATAAATTTTTTAGGCCTATATTTTATACATCAGGCTTTTATGGCTCATATAGTATGATATTATGAAAATATGGAGCTCACACGCAAGAAGTAAAAATTGTATTCAGAGGCTGAAACTGAACAAAAGCCTATACAATTTGGTTCAGTTGTTTTTATTTACCAGTATGTGGCCAAAATTATGGAATTCTGATAGCTTGTAAATCAATGAGATTTTTTATAACACTATATAGCAGTCTACTTACAATGCATATACATATCAGTTGTCACAATATCTCCCAATAATATGACTTAGCAGAGCTCTGTAATTTTAATCGAGGGCAAAACATATAATGCAATTCAATACAATAATAATAATAGGCTACAAATGTAAGATGTACAATAAACATTCCTCAAAAGCATGTTGCAAGCAAAAAATGGATTATGAATCACATAAAGATGTGTGAAGCTGCCGTCAAAGGCAACATATATATTTCAGTTCAATATGGTTCACAGTTAAACTATAAATATATAAGAGGTTAAAAATCATATGATTGAAATAAATAATGTCTTATGGCCAATAAATAATAATTTCATGTTTATTTCTTTTTGTTAAAAACTTTGTGAAAAAAGGAGGGAACTTATTTTTTGTTCCGTGTGGAAATTATAGTTTTGTTGCTATGAGGACGCTGTATGGGTGCACACGCTAAGATCAGAGAGATATGTGCTGCGGCTTACGAGCCTGTTGTCTGAAAGCCCCAGAAGATGGTAAAGTTATCCATAAGTTTTGTCGGTGAAGCGTGAAGATGAATACACCTAAGTTTACCCTCTCGGGTTCATGCGGCCTTTATTAAAACTCGAGGGGAGTAACAGTCAGAGCGACACCACATTCGTTCTTCAAGAAAAGGCTTTAGTCACAGAGAAGAAACAAGTGCAGTTGAAACTTTCCACACTGACATCCAGGGACACAGTCATTACAAGTCAAAAGCTATTTGGGCTACAAGTCAGAGGCTTCTACACATTCAAGAGAATCCCTCTCCCAACGACATACACAAGAGACTTTATCCCTGCCAATTTAAGTCATCTTCCCACACCTAAGACAGCAAGAGCATGGCCTCACCTAGAGAACCTTGCTGAAGAGATCGCTCCCATGATAGAGTGCGATATCGGCCTGCTTATAGGGGAAAACTGTTCGCAAGCTCTGCTACCCAGAGAAGTGGTGTCAGGAAAGGACAATAAACCATTCGCTCAAAGAACAGACCTTGGCTGGACTATAGTCGGCGGTACTGATCCCTGTGTGGACTATGGTGACGCTATAGGAAGCAGTCACAGAGTGACACCTTCTGTTCAGTCACCAAACCCCTTACCAAATGAAGTCATGTACGTCTGTCGTACACAAGTTAATCACACCACTAGATGTGATCAAAGTACTGGAGTCCGATTTCAATGAATGCCGCATGGAGGACTCTCACTTCTCCCAAGAGGATCTGCGTTTCATTTCCATAATGGAGGAAGGAGTGAAAATGAAAGCGAATGGTCACTGTGAGTTGCCCTTGCCCTTTAAGAAGGACAGACCAAATCTGCCAGACAAAAAAATCTGTGCCGAACACAGACTCAAATGTCTAAAGAAAAGATTTGAGAAAGACACGCAATACCACAAAGACTACACAACATTCATGAATGAAACAATAACACCGGGAGATGCGGAAAAGGTTCCACCTGACGAACTGGACAAAAGCCCCTTCTGGTACATTCCTCACCATGCGGTCTACCACCCCCAGAAACCTGGAAAAATAAGAGTCGTCTTCGACTGCTCGGCAAAGTACGAAGGTGTGTCATTAACCCTCTGGGGTCCAAGGTGTTTTTGGGGTCCTTGAGATGTTTTGACATACTCTGACATTTGTGCTTTTTTCAGTTGCTTATAAACAAATTACTGGCAAAGGTGTAATTACACTCTATTTAGCAGAAACAGGGCTACCATAATATGTTATCAACATGTATGTACATGTTTGTATTTTTGAGAGAATATTGTTTATGCGTGGTTGTTGAAAAAACTAAAACTTAAAGTTTCTGAAATAAGGCCACAAAACACATACTAAATATGTGTCCACAAGACTTTTGACTAATGGATGTTGTCGCCTAGAGTTTTTTCTTCAAAATGATCTGAAAATCATTCTGCCTTATCATTCACATAAAACAATAGATTGGTTTAAATTTAAAAAGGACACTTTTTGTTTGGAAAGGCAATATGCGCAGGGGTGTGACCTGCTGTGATTCACACCTGAGTAGACAATGAGCGCATAATGAGCGCATAATGGGGCTGCATACTAATGACCCTTTCATTCAGGTGTGTCACTGAGCCACAAGAATGCAATGACAATGTATATATATAGGCCTATATAATACAAAATTGGTTCACAGTTCCAATTATTTATTTATTTTTCAAATTGTGCTTGCAAATTGTATAATATCAAATGTAAACATTTCTAGTAATTGTGCAGTTAATTCTCATACTGTTTTTACAGAAAGTTTGGGAATATATCCCAAATGTGTCACTAATAAAACACAATACAAATAATTTAAAGAGGAGGCTTATATTGAGCTTTTAAGATTTACCTAAGATTTATTTATATGTAGCCTACATATATTTTTGCTATTTTAATAAAAAGGTTACAATTACAACAACAATTAAAATTAACTATATTTCAAATGTAATCTTTCTTTGTACTACTAAATTGTACTACTTTCTATGTATACTAAAGTATACATTTTATCATACATATTTCACAGTTGCGGATTAATTAGTTTGAATATAAAGACGCCCAAGAATTCTTCTGGACAGATTAAAACGTTGTCTTAGGGTACATCAACAACGACGCAAAACGGTTTCATATCTTCGTAGCTAACCGCATACAGCGCATCAAGGAAAGTACAAAACCAACCCAGTGCAAATAGGTGACGTCAGAAGACAATCCAGCTGACCACACATCACGAGGGCTTAAGGCAAAAGAGCTCATTGCTTCCAATTGGTTTAGTGGTCCAGATTTTCTCTGGCAGGAAGAGCTTCGAAGCGGTGAGGTTAAGGTGAGAGAACTTGATGCCAAAGATCCAGAAGTGCGCAGGGTCATTGTGCACCAGACCTCAACCACAACAGATTCGCTCACTAACTGCTTCCTTAAGTATTCAAGCTGGACAAGACTAGTGAAAGCAATCGCCAGACTCCGAAGATTTCTCAAGGAGTTTAAGGGTACAATACAGAGAACCAATGAAGCCACAAGTCTCGAGGAAAGACAGGATGCGGAGCTTACCATCATGCTCATTGTACAAAGGGAAGTCTTCTCCAAAGAGATCAATGATCTTTAGTCACAAAAGGAGATGACCAAAGACAAAACCAGTAGGCTGTACCGACTCAATCCCTTCTTAGACCACAGGGGCATCCTTAGAGTGGGAGATCGATTAGAGCATGCTACCATGCATCCAAACATCAAACATCCAGTCATCCTACCAAAAAACAACCACATAACAAGGTTACTGATCGATTACTATCACAGACAAGTGCAACATCAGGGGCGTGGCATGACCATAAACGAGTTGAGATCAAATGGCATCTGGATCCTTGGATGTAGTCAAGCTGTGTCATCCCTCATCTACCACTGCGTCAAGTGCAGAAGGCTTAGACGTCGCACTCAAGAACAGAGACTGGCAGACCTGCCGCGTGAGAGAATGGAGACAACTCCTCCCTTCACATATTGTGGAATGGATTGTTTTGGTCCGTTTTACATCAAAGAAGGTCGAAAAGAGCTGAAACGTTATGGACTATTGTTCACATGCTTGTGCTCTCGTGCAGTGCACATATAGTTACTCGATGATCTATCAACTGATGCATTCATCAACTCACTTTGTGACTTCATTGCCCTACGTGGAAACGTTCGCCAACTCCAATCAGATCAGGGCACCAATTTTGTTGGAGCGAGGCATGAATTCCTGGAAGCAGTAAAGGAAATGGATCAAGAATGCCTTAAACAGCTAGGATGCGAGTTTGTCATGAACCCTCCCTCTGCTAGCCATATGGGCGGAGTTTGGGAAAGGCAGATCCGGACAATCAGAAGTGTGTTAACATCCATCCTGGATCAGTCATCCCGAACACTCGACAGTTCATCCTTACGGACCTATCTTTATGAAGTGATGGCAATCATAAACAGCCGACCTATGACAGCACACTTACTCAGCGACCCAACAGGTCCTCAGCCTCTTACGCCCAACTTACTTCTGACAAGGAAATCCTCAATAATTTTGCCTCCACCTGGAAACTTCGTAAAGGAAGACCTCTACCTCCGCAACAGATGGCGTAGAGTCCAATATCTTGCCAATGAATTTTGGCACAGATGGAAAAAGGAGTACCTATTGAGTTTACAACAAAGACAGAAATGGCAC